AATGTTAACTATTTTTCCAGTAACCCAAGAAGTCTACTATAGACTATTACGACAATGTGAGGAGGGCAATAGTCCAGTTTTGTTGTTTTCTTACTGTATTGGGAGGGGAGGGGGGCAACGGACGACCGTAAAAAAGGGAGACGTTTTTCAAGTCGAGCTGGTTTATCAGCAGTCAGTTGTGAAGACGACATCTGCCACTTGGCTGTGTTTTTACGCGTGTGCGATGTGTCTAGCACGTCTACTGCACCCGGGGTGCTAATATATTTTGAAACCGCAATGCATTCTGGGAAAGTACCGGGATCCTCCTTGGGGTGCTCTTGAAAGGACGGATAGACATCTTTGTTATGTCGTGATCAGTATGTTGAGGCCATGTTAATTTGATTACATGGATGACATCCGCGGGCGCGTGAATTTTCGTCCGTTTCCAAAAAAAAAGTTTTCGACCATACTGTATATCGCACAAATTATAGCTGCAAAATGAGCAAATGTATGCCGTAAGTTGAAAAAAAATATTGGAAACCGATATGTCAGAAAATGCCAAAATCCATTCCAAAGGACAAGAAGAAAATGTGAAGGATTCAAAATAAAGAGTCTATTATTGACCATGCCAATAGAATAGTACTCTGTGTGTTTAGTCATTTGTTCAACCTTTATGAGCACCTAGATTTTGTAATGACTTTTTTATTATTCGCACGCTCGCATCAGTTTTGGGGTTCCCAGAGGATGTCATCCATATAATCAAATCAACATGGCCTAACATTGATCGTTCCTTGGACACGTTTCCCGCCAATCTAACTCGGAAATGACAGGTTAAGTGCTGCCCCTATCACATTATTTTTGACCTCGTGACCCTGATGAAAGGGCGATACAATAGTCGGATTTGATTGGCTGCGGAAGTGATATTGTTAATCGATCCTAGCCTTCGGAAAATGGGAAGTGTCCTATTGTTCCTGCTTGATGGGGACGTAATACTTTTGAGTGAAATGTCTTAGAAGACTTCTTTGTAGAAGGATGTCAAAACGTCTTGACGCTGGGCGATACTTTCTTCTAGACGTAAGCAACACTGTTTTATCTTAAGTTACGGACAACTTTTTTGCTGTCTGACTTTTGTCTTTGACTCTGTTACTCATCTCTGTCTTATCAATCTTTTAATCGCTGGCGCTAAAAAAAATTTGTAAAAAAAGGTTGCTTTCATTATGAAATTACGTGGTCATGAAGGTTAAACAAATGACACTTCAAATTCATTTCTTTACATTTTCGTCTTTTTCGTTTGATTTTGGCATTCTACGACTCGTATATATTTGCTCATTTTGCAACTGTTTTGGACGAGTTACAGTATGGTTGAGAACTTTTTTTTTTGAAACGGCCGAAAATTCATAAGCGCGTGGATAGCATTCATATAAATCAAATCAATATGGCCTAACTAGGATTTCTCAAGTTTTTCTGACTGAACTAAGTTTGTCTAAATTAGATAAAAAAAACTTGCCATGGGAGATCGTCAGTCAGATAAGTAAAGTTTACCCCAGGTGGATCTTGTCTCTGATAATTTCCTGAAGGGCTAGCTTCTAAGAACCTTGAATGGGTTCCAAGAACACAGAGACGTAAGACAAATTCCCCTGCAGAAGTGGACTACTTTCCTCCTATTTGTGAGTACATATTCTACCCTATTGCCCTATTTCCGGCCGGCTGCACTATCGATCAAGCGCGCGTGGACCAGAATCTAGGAATTCTGGAGCCTACGTAGTCCAGTGGTCAGCGACCAAGAGGTCGGGAGTTCGAATCCCGACTGCTGAAGCTCACCCGACATGCGCACTTAGGCCACACCAAGTAATTTTTATGGATGACGTCCTCTGGAGACCCTAAATCTAATGCATGCGAGAGTGCGAAAAAAAAACAAGGGCCGAAAAAAAACCAAGACGCCTAGATGTTAGGACACAAATTGAATGAGAGATCAGTGTGACAACCAACAAGTCTTTTATTCGTCATGAAAACAGCAATAAATCAGGTGGAACAGCAGTTGTCGTCCTGTCCTGTTTCTTTCCTTTCATCACATCTTCCCTTAAATCCCACTGTTGTGACTCTTTGGTCATAATTACAAGTAGAAAAATTTCTTTTTTTCTGTCTTTTTTCTTTTAAACAAGCCAAAATCAATGCGTGCTTGGACATCATCCATAAAATTTACTTGCTGTGGCCGAATGGGAAGGGTCGTAGTCCTTTAAAATAGGACGGAATTAAAAACGAACGTGAAGCTGTGCTCCACTGTTCGTTGTACCGCCGAAAAGAGCTAGTGGATTGTCCCTGGTATACTGAACTTGTAAATACTGTACACAGCGTCTGTCTTCTCTGTCATTACGACCAGTGGAAGAGTATAGCTCTTCAGTGAGCTAAACCGGTACGAATGCCAATGTCACAGTTACTGTCTCTCGTGAAGTCAAGCTGGAGGGAGAGATATCGTTGTTGTTACTGCGGCAGTCCATTTGTTCAGCCGCGCTTCGGTAGTTACCGTCCCGACACCCATACTCACGGCTGTAAATGTTAGGCCACAGCAAGTAAATTGTATGGATGACATCCTCCACAGACTCCAAATCTAATGCGAGCGGGCGAAAAAAAACAAGGCGTACCGAAAAAACAAAGTTCTTACATTTTAAAAATTTTGACTCAATCATTGTAGAAATGGTTTTGATTCAGTGGGAACATCACACATACACAGCCAACATCACATATCACTGCATCAAAAAAAAGTAAGAAACAAAACATAAAATCAGAGCCTTTTCTTGTCTCCTCTCTTTATAGTTATCTGCCATCCACCTTCCGACATGGCAACAGACATCTTTGCCCATTTTGGGCATAGTGACCACTGTCAGAAGGCAACAAAATTTCTTGGTTTTTTTTTTCCAAAATCAGGCGAAAATTAATGCGCGCGCTGATGTCATCCATAAAAATTACTTGATGTGGCCTTACGTTTGTGTCTGTCCCGGTATACTGGGGCCCATTTTAGTCAACAGGGTTACGCCAATGAGAGGAGCTTTAAGTTAAGGCCTAGAAAAATTAATGTTGTGTGTTTCCGACAGTCCTGAAAAATTTAGGTTCTCGGTAAGGATTCTCTCTTTTTTTCCTTTTTTTTCCCTTATATTCAGAAAGTGATCCAACAAAAGTAAATGTATCAAATGGTGAGGAAAATCCATTTGTAGCAGACTTAAGCGACGGTCACAACCCGCCGTACGTGCATCTGCGTGCTGTCTACGTGCAAAAACGTGGGCAAACGCAGGGCATCCGTGCGTGGTGAGTACTGCCTCCGTACGGAATCCTACGGATTTTGGAGCACGCAGACACGCCGTAGGACTTTAAGTGCATGTAAAACATTTTCTGCGTGCGGTCTACGGATTCACCACCCGTGCGTGCGAGTACGAGCGACGCGCGTGCCCCGTACGTGCCGTACGGAAGAAGCACGTGTGAGTACGGCCTCCTTACGGTAAAGTTGCAATCGCACAGAGATCGTACGTTGTAAGCACGTACAACTCACGTACCACTTGCTCAACGTACGATGCACGCAACCACTCACGGCCAGACGTGGCGTGCAGACCACACTCTTACACCTTGCGAAACCGTGCGAGTGACGTGCGTCGATGCCACTCCTTCCCCACGTTTTCAGAAAAAACGTAGCAGACGTAGCCTCCCAAAAAACGTACGGACAAAAAGCACGTACGGCGGGTTGTGACCGTCGCTTTATGAAGAGGTTATAATGGGATATTTGCACGGCGCTTAGGGAAAAGAAAAACAAGCAAAAACAGGCCCTTGCCTTTTTTTGGCCTTTTTGTTGGGGGGGGGCATTGGCAAGGGACATAAAATTATCGATCTAAAATCTGATTCATGTAAACGTTTCCCAACATGAAACGTCTGGCCGTTTCCAAAATCATATCCAGTTGCTTGAGTAACTGTTTTTGGCGTATCTTATTACCTGGATGTCTAACCTTCATCGACGTTTTCCAACATGGTCTAATTTCTGTTGCAATAGAAAAAGTGATATAAAACGTGTAGTAAATATTGTATATCTTTGTACCTGCGCTTGTACAATTCTTCATTCTTATATCGCGATTAACCTGCAGTATAGCATGATTCTCTACGGATTTTTGTACGCCAATACACAGTGGTAACATAAGTTATGATTTTTGATTTTGAACGGCGCAACCGTTATTAATATTCCATATACCACTAATTCCTTAAACCAACATGATGCTGCCACACGCTACTAGTATATTTCGAGATTACTTACAAATGAGTAAATGTATCACAAATTCACAGCAGAAGATGGAATCTCTTTAATAAAAGTACCGTGCAATTCATTCGTGTCAAAGCGGAAAAAAATCGATTGAAAAGTCGATCTGTAGGGAATCGTGCACACTATATAGTGTTGCCGAAGGAAAATTGAGTGAAATTGTCCGTGTCTGCAAAGTCATGAAATTTAGATACTTCGTCTTGAGGTCTGAATCCTCTGGAAATGATGGAAGTTGTACGTTCGAATGCGTTCGTCAAGTTGCTTCCCCTTGAACTGTTGAAGCTTCAGGCCCAGGAGTACGTGCTAGATTTAACCATGGGAAGTCATTTGCATGACGTCAAAGAAAAGTCTAAAGCGTCCTCCGTCTGTACTCAGTGGCTAAAGCCCCTGTCACACATAGGCGAATATGGCCTGCCGAACTCCCTCCAACCATGGTTAGGAATAGGTTGGGAGCAAAGTCGGCTGTTGTTGGCTGGTGTTCGGCGAGGTCGGCTACTGTTGGCTAATGTTTCAAGGTTGGCTGGTGGTTGGCTGGTGTTCGGGAGTAGGTCAGCAGTGGTCGGGGCGTGGGAGTCAAATTTGACTCAAACTTAACTCAAATTTGATTCGATTGACATAGAGAGGTAGGTGTGGCCTAGGTCTCGTCAGACCGCTTCCGAACTTAAAGTTGATTACTGGTCGGGGGAAGGTTGTAAAGGTGTTGTAAAGGTGTCTGTTGTTGCAGGTACGACAGTACACAGACAAGGGTGTTGTTGCAGTGAAGACTCCGTTCAAGGTGCAGCTGGGAGAGGGGAAACTGTACGCCTGGTGCAGCTGTGGACTCAGTAAAAAACAGGTCGGTACATGCAACTTTGAAACTTTATTCATACACCTTCTTAATCTTGTAGACACAAGGTTATAATTGGTAGGCGTTTACAACGATAGAACAAGGAGGTCGAATTTTAAACCTGCTTGGTCTGATTTTAAACCTCATTGGATAGAATAAAAACGCTAGGAAGTTAAACGTTGACAATCAAACTCAATAAATATATATACCAAGGTGTTAGAATTTTATAGACTTCTAGATGCAAACATGTGGTGGACGTCGGTATTCACGGAACAAAATCACAGCGCATCTGTGTACATCTTTTAGCACTCACTCACTCACTCACTCACTCACTCACTCACTCACTCACTCACTCACTCACTCACTCACTCACTCACTCACTCTCTCACTCACTCTCACTCACTCACTCACTCACTCTCACTCACTCACTCACTCTCACTCACTCACTCACTCACTCACAAATTTGAATCATTTGTGTAACCTACATAATTTAACAAAAACTTAAATTACCTCTGTTAACGCATTTGAATGAGCAATGTAACCGTTCTTATACTGTATATTGTCCAGAGCTAGCCTCCGACTACTTGGGCAGTCCTGGCTGTATACCATTTTATGCAGCCTAATAATTCAAATCAAAACGTTACGATCTTGCACGCTACATCTGCTTGGAGATTACCTCAGCACAATCAATCCCGTCATGCATTTGTAACCTCGGGCCGAGGACAAACTAGACAAGGACGCGGTGACCATATATGGAAGTACACAAGTTCCAGCACGTAGACTTGGACGAAGTTCAAGTGTGCGTGTACACCGTTTTAGTTGGAGCCGCATACTGCCAAGTTTTCACATAATATCGTCCCAGTAGAGACGGTCTGGCTGACGAGAAAATCTTTTCATTTCAACAGAGAAATGCTGAAGAATATCATAGTTCATCAAACGTATCATGAATACTAGAAAGGTGAATAACATTTGCAAAGCAAATGCATAATGTTTACCTTCGCATATGGTGTGCTCTGTTAATTTTTACTCAAACACATTCATATATATATGGAGACAGGAGTCTAAATCCCTCCTAGTCCTACTGTAAAATTGCAACATGATGTAACCCAACACTAGTTACCATGGTGACAGACAATCTGGTTCAGTTAGGTCAGAGGTGATTGTTTGGAGAAGAAGAAGAAACGTAGCAAAAACAATGTTTTTCTTCGGTAAACATAATAACAGTTTTACCTATTGTCAGACAAGAAAAGAGTATAAGTTACTGTACGCATCATACAACTGAAATCAGCGTATAACATAACAAAGTTGTAGCAATCAGAGCAAAAATCACAAAAATCAGTATGTGAATCTTAGATTATAATAACTGATAAAAGTTGTATAAGGAATTATTTGTAAGGATGTGTGAAATTTTGTTTTTCTTTAAAGTAAGAGTATACCGAGCTATGTGGAAATCGTAGGATAGATAGATAAAAAAAATAAGAGACTTTACAATAAGCTATTGCGGTTCATACGTTCGTTGACAAAGACTACCCCGGGCCCCACACTAGCTAGTATCCCCTCTATCCGAGGGCCTCTGATTCTCTGGGGCATCTATCTGTATGCACAACATACTGCTGTATGACTACAGATGGTATTGTGATGGTACAAACATCACTCTGATGAAATGAGCTGGTACAAAGTTGTTCCCCACGCTTGACTGATAGGGATATATCTCACGAACGTGTCTATTTTTCAAACGATCACAGACAGACACTCTCGGTAGGCTAAATGTCTCTTTTTATTACAGCCCCCCTCGCGTTACAATCCAATTGAAAGCAATTAATTTGCAACCATAATCTAGTCATACTCCATTAAGTAGGAGCGTAAAAGGGGCCCAGGGAAGATCACAGAGCGCGATTTGCCGGGGCGGAAATCGCAATTAGTAGAAGAGGTGAGCAACAAAGACACCTACGTGTGTGTTAAAGGACCTTAAAGGGATATTATGTAAGATTTTTCCGCCAAAATTGTAAATAGAAATCATTGAAATTTTCTCATCTAGATTTTCATTTTCAATAATGCTCAACATATTAGCGTCTCTTTCTCGCTTTTCTGGTGACTCAGCGCAGCGCGAGAATAAGTTGTGCCAGGCCCGCTGTATTTTTAGGAGGCTCCTAAAATGATGTAAACAAACAGCGGCTTTTATTCGGGTATCTTCGGCAGCTTCCCGCGTTTTTGCGGCGCAACGGCAATGACTTTTTTTCTCCCCAAATGTCATTATGAACCCAGGTAGGCATGTAGCACAAGAAAGTGTGTAAACAATGATGTTTAAAATAAGTATTATCTTACATAATATCGCTTTAAAGAGATGAACTTGAACAAGACATTAGCTTTACACAAAAGACCTGTATGTAGAACGCCTTTCAATTTATTTTCATAGCCATCTAATCTTGCGTTAGAATGATTGGTTTGAGTTCGAATTCTTATTACCTCCGCCAGAAGGTTGTGTTTTGGTAGTGTTCGTGTGTATGTGTGTTTGTGTTTTAGCACGATGTAACTCAATACGTTTTGGAAGGATCGCCGTGAAACTTGGTAGGTGGGTAGGTCTTGATGAGGTCTCAAAATGATGAAGTTTAGGCTCTCTGGCAACTTTTTTTTGTAAACGTTCCTAGATAATGATAGAAAAGGATTTAAAAAACGACTGCACCAAGTTTGCAATTTCTGCTTCCATTCACATAGTAAACAAAAACGAATGCACCATTTTTACAATTTCTGCTTCCATTCACAGTTTCATGAATGTTTTTTTCAAACACCTTCAAAACCTTATCTCCAGGGTGCACACAAAATCCCACGTGGCTTGTTTGGTGAGCAAGGACGTTCCAAAGCCTTTTTGAAATTACGCAGCAGTTCTTGACCCTTTCTTTATCCCTTCATAGCGTTCCTTCTAAGTATGGCAGACTGTTCCCCATTCCCATGGTAAGAAAGGGAGGGAGGATATAATGTTAATCTTCCAATTCGTACTCCCTATCGGCACGCACCGTCTGTTCTAAAGCGCTACACTGCAGTGTGCTGTGCAATATGTGAACCAGAATTGCCCCGAGGAAGGTGACAGACTGTTACCAAAACGTCGGCAGAATAAACCTCTTGCTTGTGCTAAAAAGAGTGAATTACTAACCGTATTCACGGATGCTACCATCACTTGTTCTCAAGTTTTGATCGCTCTTAACTTTTCCTCAAAATTGGTAGTCCAGGGATAGCCTTGTCAGTAGCCGTGATAGACAATGTGTAGGAGGGTGTAAAGAGCGGAACGAATACATATAACGTTACACCCCGTCCAATCGAGTTGTAGGCATCAGGAAATCTTAGACATAGGGACATCGTAGGTCGTCGTGCGAATTAGATGTGGCGTCGTGTGGTGTAGTGGTACATCACTGGACTATGAAACTGAGAGACCCGGGTTCGATTCCGGGTCGTACCCGAACAAGTCCGAACATGCGCCCCGACGTTGTACCCTTGGGAAAGGTACTTTACACGACTTTCCTCACTTCACTCAGGTGAAAATGAGTACCTAGCTTCGGCTAGGGACGTCCCTTGGATAGGACGTTAAATGGAGGTCCCGTGTTTGGGAGAGCCACACCCCACGCACGTTAAAGAACGCACCACACTTATCGAAAAGAGTAGGGGACCTTCCCGGTGTGAGTGGTTCAAACCTTACAGTCTGGTCTCGGGGTTGACATCTTTGAAAAGGTGATAGTCACCTGTTATGTCAATCCTTCCACAAATGTGGTAAATCGTCATAAATAAATAAATGTGGTGGGATTTTTTTAGCTGGTTGTGACAGAAAATAATCGCCGTCAAGGATGAGAAGACTACTAATATCCCAAGAACACTAACACTAACAAGACTATGAAAATTCGCACGACACACCTACGACTGCCCATTGTGTTGTTGTAAAACTGTCGCGCGACGTTCGTGACGGAGGCGTAACCAGAATGGCGCCCAGGCTACGTTGATCGAGCTCCGGAAACAGCAAACTCTTTAGGAAACGCCAGAACTTCAGGTCAAGCTCAAATCACAGCAGTCATCAGGAGTATCCCACAATGCACTGGGAACTCTAAGATACGCCTGTAGATTGCTGTAAGGCCATGTTGATTTGATTATATGGATGACATCCGCGCGCGCATGAGTTTTCGGCCGTTTCCAAAAAAAAGTTTTCAACCATACTGTAAATCCTACAAAACAGTTGAAAAATGAACAAATATTTACTGTAAGTTGCAAAAAAAAAAAATCGGAAAACGATACCAATGTCGTAGAATGCCACAATCAAACGAAAGAGACGAAAATATAAAGAAATGAATTTGAAGACTAAATTATTCGCCCTACCATACTCTATGTCATTTGTTCAACCTTCATGACCAGGTAGATTCCATGATGGAAGCAACTTTTTTTACCAAACGTTTTTTTTCATTCGCACGCTCGCATCAGTTTTGGGGTTCCCAGAGGATGTCATCCATATAGTCAAATCAACATGGCCTAAGGTCAAATGAAGGTTTCCATTGCCATCTCCGATGCGCCATGCTCCATCAATCAACCTGCTACAACCTTGTCTCCGACTGTTATTATATAGTCTTAACACGCCTGGTAAAGACTGACATCAACACCTATCCTAGGCTTAACGTGGACAGCATCAAATCAACTCATAATCCGGAGAAATTCCTCGGAGAAATTGAACGTGTTGTATCTCTTTCAAACAGTCTTCTCGTAATCATCTCGGAAGACATCTTTTACAGGTGAAGACAGAAAATGATTTCCCTGAAGAGAGTGTAATAATTTCATGTCATGTAGTGGAAAATCTGACTAAATCCCTGGGTCTTAACTGGGTCTTTTTTTAGGTTATTTGTATGAAATTAAGCTGGCATACAAGGATGTTAGTTTTCAGATTGAATCTCACTCGCCGATTGTCCCAGGGCACGTTGAAGTCAGTACGGTATTGTGTTATTACCATGACCTTGCCGAAGCGTAGAGGTCAGTCTGGGTTCCCCGCGGAAATTGGCATTTGACGCGGCCTGCATCCCGGGGATGTCTCGCTTCTCTCCTGACTCTGCACATCTAAAGTTATTGTGTTTACCTTCGCAGAAGGAAAACATATTGTTTTTGCTCTGTTTCTTCTTCCTCTTCTTCTTCTCCAAACAAATAAGGTCAGTGACCTGAACCAGACATCTGTCACCATGGTAACGTGTTGGGTTACATCATGTTGCAATCTTATAGCAGGAGGGATTTAGCCTCCTGTCACCATATATATATATATATGAATGTGTTTGAGTAAGAATTAACAGAGCAGAAGGTAAGAAAAGTACAAGCCGCTAAAATTACAGTTTTACAGTATACATATCTTAATTGTCTAATTCTATTCCTGAGTTTCGGACGTTGCCATTTTCATATTTTGTCTCATGTTGCAATTATTATTTGTCCAGTGGTGACGTTAATATAAGCTATTTCGCTTGAGTGCGTCACCACTATGTATTGGTCTGTTTAGATGTTGAAATTAAAAAAAAAAACAGTTTTAAGAAGTCAAAAATATACAATTTTCCTTGCAATCGTTGGTTATCTAATAATCTATAAACTCCGATGATGGCGCAATTCTAACGTAATAAATAGAGATGGAACGTAACACGACCATACGACATCATATTACAAGTACCGAAACCTTGTTTTGAGCTGATAGAGTTTTAGGCTGGGCACAATACTAACGTTATCAATAGACGGAACGGAATTCGGAGTTCTGTATATTAGATTGTGAATACAATAATCATTTTTCATCGAAAAAGCTTAGGACGAAACGACTGCGTTAACAACAGCCATCGTCATGTTACGTCTTATCATATGAAACTTAATTCATCTTCGTCTTTCGGAGGTTTAAAGTCTTTACTTTAATTTTTGAGCAACAAAATCATATGGCGTAGATCTTTGTCTAAGTCCCATAATCACTAGGCCACGCCAATTTAATTTGTTTCTCGGATTCGCCCTGTCCATTTTTTTTTCTGATTTATTTTAAATGAACTGCAAAATGCACAATAAAAGACATATTTTGGCTTGAACGGTTGAAGAAAGCCCTCTCCTTCCTACTTGTTAAAGTTTTTCAATGTAACAATGCAACTTTCTTTCATTTTAAGTTCAAAATATATTGTTTTGATTATAAACCAGCCTGGTATGTTGACTTCATAGCTCATATTGTACCATTTCCGGCTATCATGGGATGCCTTGTTCCTGTTTTTCTTTTTTTTTTATTTCGCCCTGTCGCTTCATATTATTTTTTTTTCTGAAAATAATCCGAGAAGCAACAAATTAAATTGGTGTGGCCTTAGGGTTTAAGAAATACTACAAAAAAAAAAATATACACAC